GGGGGGGGGGGTAAATATATATTTTTGCGTGACGCCAGGATAAATTTTGTTTTTCCTGTAGATTTGAAAGAAATCTGTCGGGTGAATTCTACTATAAGCTGGTGGAAAAACCGACAATAGGGTAGAGAATCGAATGAAAGAAGCAGAACTCTCCATTTCTTATCGACAAAACAAGGATCAACGGGTTTTCGCTACTCGTCTTACACCCTGACAAATCGAGTGTACAATGAAAACAATTTCAGACCGGTTATTCCCGAGGACTCATCGCTCCTAAACGACTGGTATTGTCCACCTCCGATCCTATCTGATGTTTTATATCAATTTTACTCTCATTCGCTCCCGCACATACTCCCATTGCACTCAATTTTATCTCACAACTTTTTTTCATACTCCTTTTTTTTTACGCAGCTTTTTTCTCGTTTTTACACGAGGGACTGAAAGAAGGCCCCGACAGTATGACTGTGCGTTTATCCGCACGTAATTAACTCCGACACAATGCGCTGAAAGACTGAGGGGAGGGAATAAAACAAGGTGAGGGCAAAGAAATTAACTCGACTTGAGAGATGAATAAAAAATATTGATGTGGCGCCTCGATTATTACCGTTGGCGCTTATATCAGACGATTAGAGAATACCCCCCGCACTGTTAAAAAATCCTCTCTCAATTTTCGTCCACGAGTTGCAAAAATTTTTACAGATTTTTTCATGAGAAATTACGAATTTTCATTCGAATTTCACGTGGAAATCAACGAAAAATCAGAAAATTTTGGGGAAGACATTGTTTTTTATTTTTCATGAAAAAATCAAGAGGACTTCAGATTATTGTCACTACTGGGTCCATATGAAATGAGATAATACCTTTCAATTCCGAATGAGTGAACAGAGACAAAAGAAATGAATTTGAAATGGGCTTTTTTTTTCTCTGAAATTATGCGGAGGGTTGAGGGTTCGAGAATTTCTGTGTATCCTGCGTTTTTAATGCTCTGATCTTTATGTAAAACGGAGTGTTGGGCACGGGTACATCCGCATGCTCATTTTATTCCTCTTGAGTGTGTCAAGCCAACCATGAAATTGTATGAATCGGGATAGGCTCACGAGTGGAGGAGACACAAGAGGCTAAAGACGAATTTTTCTCGAGTGGATCCCGACGCTTGCAAATCAGAGGTAATCCAATAAATTTTATTAAAATTATAATATTGTTAATGCACTCCACGTGGAAAGTCTCGGGTAACTCACCCGAAGAAAAATTTATAATAAAATCTATCTTGATAATCGAGTTACAATACAGAAATTATTAACAAAAAATGCAGAAAAAATTCAATTGAATTAATTCTTTTTTCGTTTCACGAATTTTTACAAATTTTCAGTGGAATTTTCCGTCTTTCCCGTAATAATGGCATTGCAATACATTTTAAAAATAGATTTATAAATTTTTAATGGTTAATTGATATTAATTAATTGGCAGCGAATAGTATGAGTTTTGTTAACAATTGGATGGTTTTAATCGAGTATTTCCGATATATTTTGAGTGAATATTAGTAACTGAAATGATTAAATATATTTCCCTGGGTTTCTCACCCTCGTTACACCTCAGACTCAATTTCAGCCGAATCCTCGGCCGGGTAACATTTGTTTTTATATGATAATCCTCGAACCATGACGCCAGTATTATTATTACGTTCTGGGCACAGTGGGTGGGTTTGAAACGAGGAATCTCAAATCCTCGTCTCGGTTTTTTCCCCTTGGAGTCTTACCACTCTGTGTAAGTGTGAAGCGAAAACAAAGCGCAATATTACCCTCGCATGTAAGTAAAAGAAAAAAATTGTGAGAAAAATTGGATGAAATTGAAAGTATCGCGTCTGCCATTGAATAAAAAATGGAGTTAATGGAAAAATTGCAACTGTAGTAGACATGACAAGAAATATAAAAAAAACGTAAAACAGATATTTTTCAAAGCTTTCCAAAATATTAATATTTTCGGGATAAATAATTGTAGTGATTATGAATCGGATATATTAATGGGCTTCATCTAAAAGTTTATTAATAAGTGTATATTCGCGGGGTTGGAGGGGAAAGAGGGCATGTTGGGAGAGGGTGAGGGTGGGAAAAGGGCGGAGGGGGTGGAGTGAGGGAGACATGGCGGTGAGAATAAAGGTGCAGATGAGAGGAGGAGACAGGTAACGCCACCGAGAGGTACGGTGGCCGCCAGGGAAATTACCTTTACCGTGAAGAGATATGTGCATAAACTCGGCATTACACGCAGTACGGTTCTCAATCTTATTTTACAATACCATTACAGCATTTTTTTTTTATGTTTCCCGAAGTGGGAGACACTCATCGCTTATTGTATTCGTTATTAATGATTCATTTCTCGCAATTTTTTCACAAGCATTCGAGCATTAATTTTTCATGATTTACTGTCATGAGATTATATAGTTTTCGCAGAACGCCGGGTATCCAAATGCGGAGATATTTTATTATTAAATTTGTCGGTAAATCGCGGGAACGGAATGTCAGAAAATTGACGAGTTTATATAAAAATTCCGTTTTCATGAGTTTTTCATTAAATTATTCAGGTCTACAGGGCGTTTCATTATATTCTTAATGAATATAATTATTATCCCATAATTCGTAATATAATTTACACACCATATTATTTATATTTTTTATTCCCAGAACTCTCCGACACTTTATAAAAATCCTGAACCATCAAAGGTCACAAATCATTATCAAAAAAAATCCAGACAAATCCAAAAACCGTACACCCGCAAGTAATCATTGTATTTCCGGTTAAATCCAGACATTTACATTTTCTTCAGCTACCCATTTATTTTTGTGAAACCCGAACGAGAAGAATACGACGAGAGCCACTGAGTTCGTATAGAATGCATGATTCGAAGACAAGAGCAGCAGCCCCTGGAGGTCTCTTCAGTCTCGTAAGTACCCACAGAAGACGACATCCTCATCCCTCCCATGCTACCGTACCTCGTCCTCTTTCTCCACCTCCTCCCCTTTTGTCGTCTAAATCTCCGTTGTTTATTGCAAATGGATTCCGCATCATGATGCCCAAGCGGCGGTACCCTATTCAAATACGTGTCTCTCACTCTCTTCATGGTATATGCGTATATTCATACACTTCCTCCTCCCTCCTCCCTCTCCCCCTCCCTCTTCCCCCTTCCCCTCTAACCCCCATTTCTGCGCAATTTTCGTAGCTATACACCGTACAGGGATGTTATTGCCCCGGTCGTGATTGCTCTCGCTCCGAGTCCTTCGAATAATTTATTTTCACCAGAATATAACGACTTGTTTTATGCTCTTTTTTGGTTTTCATGCTTGTTTTTCCTTTTTTTTTTCTCCCAGCAAGGGGTAGAGATTCTCTTGGTAATCTGAGGATCAGCTTCCGTGCGCTCCGGAGGTCAGAAAAATTGAGTGGAGCTTGATCCGGTTAGGGTGCCAATCTTTTGGATACTGCGGGTGTTTATTCGAGTGAAATTCAAATTTTTGGGACAATTAATTGTTTCAGCTGTCGAGGGTGAAGGGGTTTTCCGGGTTTTCACAACCAGAAGTCTTGGAATTATTTTTTGTCCATTTTTCGAGTGCGTGATTGCCGTGAAAATGTAATCGCGAGTCAAACTGAGAGATGATTGGTTTGAGGTACAGGGGGTGAACCGTGAGTCGTGAATTTCTTATCGGATTGACTGGCAATTCAGAAAATGGGGTAGAATAAATTTTCTACAACTCCATATTGCGTTTAACGACATGATATTCCTCTTTAGAGATCTAATATCAATCGTCACACCTCGATATCACAACCAATAATTTCCAACTCTTACTGTCAAGATTCTCCCCTCTAGGGTCTAACCACAGGTTAACCATTACAAAAAATCCTAATGTGTCACTTCATATTCCGTCGCGCTCCATAATTTCCCCCCACGATGATGATACATCACACGTCATAACCACAACACCATAATCACGATAATTCGGTTGAAGTTAAACCGAGGAAAGCCCCAATTCCATAAGCATGTATTTACACTAGCAATAATTTTGAGATCAAGACCAAGGCAATGAATCATGTCTCATTGTGATCCTGGGACACATCCCCGGGGGCTATGAGACTGCCCAGGAGAAGGTGGAATTGATCGAATGCGAAACTGAGAGTGTGCTTCGTGGAAAAGGTGAATTCCCTTGTTTCTTTCATCCTCATCGAGGTGCAAATAAGACTCACCTTGGTAATTTTGCCAGAAGGCGGAAGCCTGACCACCGATGAGATCCAGGCCATAGCCCCAGCCGGGTTTTATCGCGTCGGGCGTTGTTGGTTGTTGTGGTGGACGGGGCACCTGGGATTCTCGGTATTGTTGGGCCTGTTGTTGGGACTGTGGCGGTTGATGGGACTGTTGAGATGATTGTTGCTGGGATGATTGTTGTGACGTTTGGGACTGAGAGTGAGCGGGAATTTCGTCCACTGGCTCTGACTTTGTACGTGTCTCCGTTGTTACGTTCTCTGAAACATTTTACGTACCAGATTATAGCATCAATATTGTAGATTAATGTAATTATTGAACAACCCGAGTAAAAAGAAATTGTAATCGGAATATTTTTTCTAAATTTTCCGAAAATTTCTGGAAAACTTTAGAGGAAATTTTTTTTTTCACTAAAAAAAAATTGGGGAACAGAATAATTGTATTTTTAGGAAATATTTTGAACATTTTTTTTTATTTTCTAGACATGTTTGCGAATATAATTTTTTCTTTTAATTATACTGGTGTTTTCTTACTTTTTTTATTTTTCAATATTCTCAAAAAATATGCCATTTAAATTATTAAAAAAATTTTCCCATTCTAATTTTTGAAAATTTTTTCAAAACCTTCCCCAAAAATAAAATTGTTCTGTTTTCCATTTTTTTTTGTTTCATAAAAAAAATTTTCTGAAAAGTTTTCCAGGAATTTTTTGAAAATTTGAAAAAAATATTCCGATTACAATTTTTTTTTTACCCGGGAACGCCTCTCTGATACATCCGATCATTTGTACCTGTATTTGTACCCTTTATTTATTAAATAAATTCTCTTATGCAAAAATATGAGCAAAAATATGAATATATATAATATGAGCCGTTGAGATTGAGATTGATTATTTATTAGAATATTCCAGAGTTCGGGTGTTATCAAAAATGATGTGGTTCGTTAATCTGACGGAAATGAATTGAAATTACAATTTTGATAACTACAATTAAGTCAATGGTCATGATAAAGATTTAAGGTGAGTGTTTGTCCTCAGGTGTTCCGTTTAAATTTCGATGATACAGAGGTACATTCCAGGAACGAATTAAAATTCAAACCCCAGGACCTTCCAGGAATCGCAAAATCCAGTACCTCCAACTGTTCCGATAACACTCGTCTCATCGGAAATACTGCCCGAGGCTCCAGAATCTTGAGAATAAATTAATTAATTCGAGCCAGAGCAAACAGCCTGACACCCAGCAGAATATGATTCCTTACTTATCCAAACCCCGTGCCGACGGGGGTGTAATCTCCACTCACCCCCTTTCTTAAACCTTGAAAATTCGTTCCTTGATACACTAACCCCCTCCCAAACTTCGTCTTCTCCTTACGTTTCTTGTACTCCCTGTCACTACCAAGACTCAAACACGAAACCCTTTAAGTGAAATCTCTTATTCCGATATAGCGAACCTCCTGCGAGGTACACAAGTCAGCCGAAGCTGATTAACTGCTGTCAAGTCCAGGGGAGTCATGATATTAATTGCAAATCAAACGGTAACTAGACGCTCCTGACGGGAAATGACGCGCATTTATTTTTTTCATCTTGAAATACGTTTCGGAGGAGTAGATTTGATTTCAGGGAGGTATTTGACAACTCGATCCTCCAGTTGAGATACCCATCGACCATTCGAAAAAAATTGAACCCTTTTTGTTTAAATAAAAAAATCATTCCGCATTGTTCTGTGTTGGATGAATTTTTTTGTGCTGAATTTTTTGCGTGTGTTAATTGCATACATAATTTAAACAAATTTACTCACCAGCTATCGCTCTAACTTGTTCAGACGATGCACCCGTCGCTTTGAGTGCCTCCTCCAACTGCGTACGTCTCTTGGTCTCCAAATCGAGCTGTTCCTGAAGACGTTTCCGCGCCCGTCGCTCCTTCTTCAGTCGTTTTTGGTACAAAACTGCAATTAAAAAACCAGAGAAATCAATTTAAAAAAAAATGATCATCAAACGGTTTACTCCAGTTTCCCGATGCGCTGTCATCATTGCGGATACGAATAATCATTTTTTTGGATAATCTTCATGATTTAGATCATCAGGATTTGAGTTGCCGTCGGGGATTAAATCGAGGTAGTGAAAAATAATCCGTTGAGTGGTTATGCAGGCGGAATTTATTGTCTTGAGCATTAATTGAGAGCAGAGAGATGCAATGAATCTCGGTGCCCACAATAGCCATAACCGTGAGTGCATTGTGCATCGTCTCGTCTCAGTCTTCACCTCAATCTCATCCCTGGTCACGAGATACTGCGAATACCTCGTTAATGCATATATACAAAGCTGCCCCATCCGCTCATGTTCCACTCAAACACAAAGACAATTGGACGGCGCCCGCAAGATCCAGTTGCATTCGTGGTCGATCATATGCATCCTTCATACCTATCGATCCGATCGAGACCCCAGGGCGGCACCCTTTGAAGCATCAACCATCAACCAACACGGGTATAACCTCGCTCTTAATTATTTTCAATCACATCGAGTCCTCGAATGTTGCAAGATGTTGTTCAAGATTTATTGAAATTTCAGTCGAAATGTCATTTCAATTTTCAATAAAAAAAAAAATTGAAATTATGAACCTGAAAATTCGTGGATTTATGGAATTGAAAATTTCGATAAAAAAATGAATTATGAATGAAAAAATCTGTGAATTTTTGGGATTGCAAATTCTAGTGATATTTTGACGGAAATTTCCAGACATTTCTTGTGGTATATGCAGAATGTGTGTAGATATTCTCGGAAAGGATTCCTACGGCAGAAAAAGGGCATAAAAATGATGAGAATTCTCGAAGAAGCGGATAGAAAAGTGGGCTGAGATGCATATAGGGGCACAGGAAGCACGACAGTAGCTGGCATTTGAGATTGCTCGGTCTGACATGAGTGAAAGACTTGCCAGTAGCGAAGTGCATAAACCGAGTGGTTTTCTCTCTCTGGTCTCTTGGCGTAGGTGCCACGTCGCCGTGGGCGTACACCAGGGTTGTCTACGATGCTGGTAAATGCAGTCACGTTGGGGTGATGGAGGGAATGAGCATGTGAACTCATTCCCCGCAACATTTCACGTCTAACATCATCCGATCATTCATAAATCATCAGTCATTATCTGTTTTGCAATTGAAATAAACAACATTTCTTATCCTACACCGCACGCGCTCTTATCACTCATCATTTTTTTCCATTCTCTCTTGTAATTCCTATCGAAATTAAATTAAAATTAAAAATTCAATATTCAATACTCGATCTATTTTTCAAATTGTTCAAGATTCCGTAATTTTAGATTAATATAAAAAAATAATGACTAAAAAATGGATTTGTGATTATGAAAAAATTGAAATTACCGCTCATTTCATTGACCAATCGGAAGTCATGACTGGCGGTCAGCCAATTTCGATATATTTCGATATATTTCGATAAGTTTCGATATAAGCCAGCTTCACGGCTCCTTCATGTTGTCAAGCTAGAGAAGACAGAGTTAATCCCGATACGAGGTACAGTGAAAAATCTTCGTACAGAAATAAAAAAAATGGTACCTCACTTAATAAACCGTAATCAATAGGTACGAATAAACATGAATGACGCTTGACCCAATTGAAACATAATATGCAATCTAAAAATTCCGAGGTTGAGCGTCACTATCACGTGATTGATTCCCAGTAGACAAGGCGCAGACAACCCCCTCCCTCCACCAACATAACCTCATTCTTTTTTAAAAAAAAACTGTTGCCCATGGTATTCGCCACTATGGCTGAAATTCCGCATCTCCCTCTCATTCTTTTTCGCGTAAATACGAGCAATCTGTCTGGCCTCCTGGTTCTTATTCTATATCCATTTATTTTCTCTTTCTTACTTTCATCTCTTCCTTGACTGGTATACAACAGTGAAAACAGTGGCCTCCCTCCTCACCCAGGACAGCGCAAATGTTGGAAAGAGGTGGAGCGAGAGATGTTTTATATGTGTACACCGAGGGGTACAAAATTGTTCAAGTTGAAGGAGGACTGAGTGAGAGGGAGAAGTAGCATTATGATGCAAAGATGGCGCGGCCAGCGGCACCCTAGAATTAGCCCGAGCCACTCGCCATTGGCTGTCCAGCAAAACCACTCCTTCGGGTAACAACCGACTGCATACATTGCATACTAAGGATAACCAACACGCGAGGAAAGAGGACAGAACTCTCCAGGAATAAGAATGGGTAACAAAAAAAATACAGCGATATTTGGAAAACGTACCCCAGACCCAAAATCAAGGTTCTTAGCTGATTTGGCTAATCCGGACGTTAAAAAAAATTCAAAATCAGCCGATTTTTTGGATTGGACTAAATGAAAACTTTATCAAAATGTCAATGAATTTTAGGTGCAATCCTCTCCAGGATTCTATGATCAGGATTCCATCGTCAGGTTAGGAGTTGCTTCTGATTCAGTTCCAAAATTCACGACCTCAATCCTGCTAATTTATAATCAGTAATTTGATATCAATATAGAACGCGCCTCAAATCGGATGCCAATCAAAATGATTTGACCAGACACTGACCAAAAAATGTGGATCCGAATCCACAACTCAGGCACGAGTCCAAACAAGCGATACAAAACTGATTCACAACCGATCAAAATCAGTAATCGATAATTCATTGAAAAGTGATTTGACTTAGCGGCGGATCGTTTTGATTGGATCACAGGACGATGTCATAATCGAATTGCTCGTTGGCAATCAATCGAGTCATAGCATATCATTGATAAAAAAACATTATCGAATGACAATCATTGAACCGCGATGATTGTAGAGATGACAATTTCGATATGGGGTTGACAGAGACATACGGCTAGCGGGTCGGAGGTACCAGCAAAGAGGTATATAGAAGGAGAACGATGACGACAGCGACGACGGTGGCTTGATCGACGTGGGGAGTCGTTTCAACCCAACAACTCGTCACATGAGTGTGTGTTGGTTTAGACTCTGCAAGAGCGCACGGTCGAAGGCTTTCTGACCGAGTGCACAGCGGTAGCTGATGTATTTTGACGTGCCCGATGGGAGACCTCTCGCCCGTTGACTGCATTATCTAATGGACCACCCTCACCTCCCTACCAGTTTTCTTCGTCTCCTCTCTTTTTCATTTTCGTCATTCCCCATTGCATCCTTCTCAGTTCTACCTCTGATATCTGCCATCTTTGATCTGCCATCTGCGATCTGCCATTTTCTAACCACGAGAATTCTTTTCCTCCTTCGCTGTTTGACCACTGGCTGTCCTGATGATTTCTCTGATTACAAACTTGAATCATTATCGGTGTGATGAAAGATCGTTGTGAGTCATCGACGAGGGTTAGATGATTTCAGTTTTTGTCATTTTTTTAACTGTACTTGGATCTTCAAGGATCTTTCAAACTTCAATCGGACAGATTTTCCAATTTCATTGGTCGATGACTCAAGCTATTTTAGTTTTTAATCGAGTAACAGGAGCCATTTAAATTATTTATAATTAATTTAATTAAAGCACAGCTAGAAGCTAGAAGCAATCGATCTCAATTAAAAATCAATTCATAGAAACAACCGATTCGTGATTTTTGCAGTAACGAATTAAATGCTCGGAGTATATTAACTTAAACTGATACTTTGTGTAAAGTTCTGAGGAAGGTGAGACTTCACGGAAGGGCCTCGAAAAATCGATTGAATAATACGATCCTCTCGCCATAAAGCTGGCTTATTAATTTTTTCGCAAAGAATCCGGTCAATTCCGAATAACAAGGCTGCGTGCAGGTGCCGGAAATGGTCAATATAACCTCAAAATGTAAATCATATTGCTGTTTTGTGAAATACAGGGTGGATGGTGGGGCAAATTGAAGAGGGACTTCTCTCCTTCGGTTTGTATTAAACACATGGAGGGATAAGACGCTCTTTCCTTCTATGGGTGTAATATTAGTTTCCAAGCGGTCCTTCTCGTCCTGATTGGATTTCACTAACACTCACTGTCTCACTCCGGTGCGGGATGGACTGTGATTGTTTTGGGTGGTGTAAGGGCCTCTCGATCCTTCAAGGATGAGATGTACCAAAGGCCATTTACATATTAAATGGACGCCGCGTGTGCTACACGTTTTCGTTATGACATTCACTTTAATCATTCCGCGGTCAATGGACAAATTAAAATATGCTTTATGTCTCGATAAGTTCATCTTCTTCTCGAAGAATGACATCGGTGCATGGAGAGAAACACTCAATTAAAAATTACCTCTCTTTTCGGTAATTTCCGAGTAATTTCCAATTGAGGTTGTTGGTAATTTTACGAAACTGTCACGTAATTTTTAGTTGTAATATTTATTGTTGTGATTTTTAGGGGTAATATTTCGATAGGCATCGAGTTTTGGTCTCTGGGGGGTGGAAGGTGTGAGATAGGACAGAATAACCTCGATAAATTCATAACAACTTGAAATTTTCGTCATGACCATAAACCGTGGTAAGAAGAGGCGCTATCAGTGTTCTGTAAAATGGTGGGAGGGGGTTGGTATTTGAGAGATGAGAAAAGAGGGGTTCCCACTTAGGGAACCCATTGGTGGGCTGTGTCTAAACACTTTGTGCGACTCGGTACGTCTCTACGCCGGACAGCATCTGTGCACAGCTATGTTGTATATATCCTTAAAACCCTACCTCGATATCCATACAAAGCTGTCTGCTGAATAATATTACACTTAACCCGTACCACTCGGATGATTATAGTTGGAGGCCCAACGTCGATAGTAGTTAGAGCGTGCATCCTGTGTGAATGCTAATTCATACCGCATTATAGTTTATATACTGAACGAATTGGATAAAAATTCTCTTATGAACCGAGAGATGTGAAAATTACGCTCATCTCATTTATTTAATTTCGTTTATTCGCATGAAGGCGCGACTGCTCTCCAATTTATATTACACTCTGAAATAA